TAGTACAAATTAGAAATCATTTTCCAGAAAAAGGACGACTAGCCTCACTGAATGTTTTGAACATGCCAATTCTAAAATCATCTTTAATTTTAAACACAAACATTTCTACAAGTGAACTTGATCCCGTTGCTTAGGAGCAAAATTCATCCATCCATCATCTTTACCTGCTTCTTCCTTTTCAGGTCACAGGGGTCCATCCATCCATCCATTATCTTTACCCGCTTATTCCATTTTGGGTCACGGGGGTCGCTGGTGCCCATGTCCAGCAATCACTGTGCGAGGGGCGGGGTACACCCTGGACAGGTCGCAAGTCCGTCACAGTAACACCTGGACAGGTCTCCAGTCCATCATAGGGACACATAGACAAACGAGACAAACAACCATGAACTCTCTCACCTAGGGTCAGTTTAGAGTTACCAATCAGCCTAACATGCATGTTTTTGGTCTGTGGGAGGAAACTGGAGTACCCGGAGAAAACCCACACATGCACCGAGAGAATATGCAAACTCCACCCAGAAAGGCCCCTGGCCGGGATTTGAACCTGCGACCTTCTTGCTGAGAGGCAGCAGCTCTACCAACTGAGCCGAATGAGAATCATTAAAATATGAGCAACACTTTTGTCCCTTTTAATTTGGGAGATAAATGGTTTATTATTGAGCATACTCTCTTAGTCTTTCAAACAACCATTAAAATAACAGAAACAATGGTAGGAAAGATTAAACCAAGAAGGAAAATTATGACACAGACCTTGAGATGAATGCTAATTGTATTCATTTTTCAAAAACTGAAGTGAAGGTTGAGCATTGAAATGGGACAATCCAAATAATCCTCTGAATCCCGAAGCAGCATAACAGAATCCTTTACTTAGTTAAATCAAATATTTGCCAACAGAAAACGTGCAGGAGAGATGCATTCTGCGCAACGGTGACGACACGTACTATAATGCATTGCACACACTCATAGTTAAGACAAATATTTGAATGCATAACAAAGATTTTACTTCTTTCCCTGCTAGAAAAACAAAATCTTCCTGATGCAAACTCTTCTTAAGGCTGATGCCACTGGTGCTGAAACTTTGTGTTTGTGGGGGAATGCTGAGAGAAAAGATGAGCTCAGCTCATCAGAAACTCTCCAAATAATCTCTAAGAGTAGAATTGTTTGGAAGGGCAATATTAACATCCTGAAAAAAATATTGATTTGAACAATAATCAACTCAAGATATAAAAAAAGCAATTTTGAGATGAAATGTTTGCTATCTACCAAATAAAAAAGCCCGGATTATCAACAACCATACTCAAAGGTCAATGCACAGACAGATACAAAACAAAATAATCTATTTTATTTGTCCTTTATTTTTTATTTATTTGACCTTTATTTAACCAGGAAGTTTCCATGAAGATACATCTCTGCTATGAAGAAGTCCTGGCCAACATGATGGCAGAATCACATTAGAAACATTAGGCCTATGTGAGCATGCACATTATGTATATAGCTGCAAATATGTACATTCCTTACAATGTTACTTTGGTTACCAAGAAGCTACATATGAGAAGAGCTCATGATAGGATAAAACAAGATGTAAACAAATACTTATTGTCCCTAAAGGATACAAAGGGTTGGAATCAAATAAATCTTTCCTTCCTTGTGCTCCTTATTGAACGTGTTGAGTACATGTTGACTGATCTTTTCATGAACTGCAATATTTTTTACATACCATTTTTTGCCCTATAGGTCATGTTTTTTTTGGCATATTTTGCATGTCCTACGATTTATACACCAAAACGACGTATTTATAGATTTTCCCCATATTTAAGAACCAATTTTTGTCTGAGATATGACCGTTTTCATTCATTCTGACTGAAAATATTGAACACTACCATTTTCAGCTGCCAGATGGCACTCGAGTTGTATGGCATGCTGTTGTATCATGTAATAGGTAAAAGTGGCTATTAATGACACAATCAGCTGATACACCCTTTTCCATAATGTCGAGCAAACAAATAATTGTTTTTAGGTGTTTATCTTGTTAAAATTTGAAGAAATATGCAGCGTTCCTCCATCCTGATTTCCTCCCTCTGCATGCTCCCAGAGCACCAAGGCAGCAAATACTTTTGAAATACAGCTGATTTAACCATTAAAGTCCTTTTATTTAGTAAAAGTTCAACTGAGACACACATTTACTATAAAGTCGAGCAAACAAATAAATGTTTTTAGGTGTTTTTCTTGTTAAACTTTGAAGAAATGCACAGCGACTTGTCCGTCTGTGCGTATCCGCTTCCACAAATCGGGTTTTGAAATGCGGCTGATTTGAGCATCAAAGTGCATTTATTAATGAAAAGTTAGACTGAGACACACCTTTGCTATAATGTCGAGCAAACAAATAATTGTTTTTAAGTGTTAATCTTGTTAAATTCCTGTTAAAGTCCTCCTGTGCACGCTCCCGCCATTTGGCAACAATCGATATTTGGCACAACACCGGCCCACATTTTCAGGTTGTCAGCGGTGACGCATACTAGATGCAACGTATACGGCGAAGCAACATATTTATGGATTTTTCCACTTTATTAGACATATTTGGACAGATGCGACTTATAGTGTTGCAACGTTTACGGCGTAAAATACGGTATACTTAGGCTAATTTATTGTATTATTCAAACATGTTCAAAATAAAGCCTTATTCAAAATGTCAATTTTTTTTTATTGTTAATTTGTTTCTAAAAAGGCAATGCATGTACGCACAGAAATCCTGCTCTTTTTGTTTTATGTTCAGGACTGCAAACAGACATCACGTCACGGTGGATGGCATTTCCTCCCATGTGATCAAGCTGCAAATGTGGATAAACTTGTTGACACCCTTCCAGAAAAAATAAACAATGAACACAAAACCGATGAGACGGGAACACGAAGGCTCCAATTTAGCCTCATCGGTCTCAGAAGCCTCTACTAGAAACATTGAATCTTGCCAGTATGCATCTTGGAGATTTTTTTTTTTCTTTTTCCAAGAAGCCTGTTGTAGTTCAAACTGCAACAGCTGCTGGAATCAAAATGTGCCATGCCTTGACCCAGACTGAAAAGTTTTGGATTGTTTTCTTGGCTTTTTTAATACCTTCTGCACTATCCATCCAATCAACATGGGGCTGCATTTCTTCTTGCGCCCACATCCTGACTGAGTGACTATAGGCCCATAAACCACTTTTAAGGTCAAACACAAGTTTGAAACGTGTCTATAATGCAAAGATTAAGATTTATTTGAGCACACTGAAAACTGCTGGGTTAAAAACAACCCGTTTTATAACCCAGCGCTGGGTCAACCTTGGACCGAGCCAGACCTGCGTATAGTCTAAACTCAATAAGTTATCAGTTTCAGCTCAGATACTGCATTCAGTTCTCTATCAAACAATGGTCAAAATGATATATTTGTCAAGTTAGAGCTACTAAAAAATGATTTTAAAAAACAATTATATTTGGGCTAATATTTAAAAATTAATCCAGCCAGCTGGCGCTAACCACTGTAGCACCAGTTAACATTATTTTATAGGAACCCAAACTTTAGTTCAAACAAAAGTTATTAACAAAGTCAAGTTACATATATTCTTGCACAATTTTACAATATTATTTTGAGCTTAAAGCAGAGGTGAAGTTCGGCCAGCTTAGTTTAAAGTGGCTCTTCTTTAATATTTGGTCAAATAAACCCAATGGCCCAGCAGTTGAGTTATCAAAGTAACTCAGCAGTTTTTAATGTGAGGGTATGCAAACCTGCCCATAACTTATCTTTCTAAAATAAATAATAAACCATTTATTTTCATTTACCCTAAGACATGCAGGTAAATGCCTTTAAATGAAGTGCTTTTTACAAGAAATGCAGCAGTGTTCCTGAATGCACGTCAACAGTCAGTCCAACCAACACTTACATTTCCTGTCAGCCAGAAAGACAGAGAGTGACCCTCCAGTCCAAACAGCACCTTGATCCATATCAGCTGAGTTGTTCCTCTGGAGTCCAAAAGGTCACCGTGTGTCCTCTCTGACTGCGGATCTCAGGGGACTTCTAACAGGAGTTATCTCCACTATTGTGCAGCTCACAGACCATCAGTCATGAGGAGAAGGAGCGTTTGAAGTCAGGATGAAAGGTTTCGTTTCAGGTTCTGCTTGAACAAAAGCTCTGGGGGGAAAAAAGTGTTTCTAATGAGCTGAAAGCCACTGTTCTGTCTGTGCAGGCTGCATCCTAAACCCAGTTTAGTTGCAACTTGTCTGTCTGCTCTTCTTCCTCTCGTGCCACCAGAAATAGAAACTGCCCCAGACACATTAGCATCCCCACAACGTAATTGAATGCAAGTGAAAGCCACAGCGCGGCTTGATGGTGTTATTACGGCTTCATGTTGCTCTCCAGCTCCTCAACGCACGAGTCAATAACGCAGCAGAAGCGCGCACTTTCCGGTTTGAACGGCTGAAAAGTGAGAAATGTGGAGAGAAATCGACAAGTTTTGCGTGCGCACACGTGGACTTGGCACGAACGCACGAGCTGTCAGTCTGCGCACGAGCGTCGCTCCTGTCCTGAGAAGCATCGTGAGCACGCGGAGGGAGATGCACGCAGAGGAGCCGAGGCGCAGCTCGGGATGCTGCGGCCCAAAGTGAGGCGGAAAGTCGCGGATTTTCCAGCACATCGTCTTTTTTCTTTTTAGCGTCAATTTTTGGAAAACAAATAAACAAACAAACAAACAAACAAAAAAAAAACCTGGATGATCAGACTTTTTGGTCCTTTTCGACAACTTGAGCTTTAAAGATGCTTGTCAAACTTAGTCGATGATGAATTTTATTTTATTTCCCTCCTCTCGTTCATGCGTAACAGCGGATCCGGGGATGCTTGACTGAAAAAAATAAAAAATAAAAAAATAAGAAAGAAGAACTCCTGTGGATTCGACTGAGACCCCCCGAGTGTGGATGTTTGGACGCGTTCAGAGCCCTTTTTTGTTTTCTTTGTTCTCCTGAAAGCCCATTATTCCCTCCTCAGCTTGTGGATCTATAGGAGGCAGTTTTAGTTGTGGCTCAACGATGCGCTCCGCTGGGAGATGCTGCGTGCTTCTGCTGCTGATGGAAAGTGTCCTGCCGGACCCGGGGACCTCCAACCAAGGTGAGTCCGAACAGGAGGAGAGCAACCAGATCGCAACATTTCCAACCATTCTTTAAGAGTTGAGCACACACGGGCTGTGAAATAACCATAAATATTCAATTATGTCTTGTTTCCTGTGCAGCAAAGCATCAATGGATTTTGGCTATAAAGCTTAAAGAATCAGGTTTTCACAGACTGGCAATCTTTTCTCTGCACACAACAACACCAAAAAACAACAACAACAATAATAATAATAGTGGGCTAATAATCTGTAGGACTGCATGTTAGTTGTGTCCACGGTATAAACATCAGTATCTCTGATGAAATATATGCTAAACTCTTGAAACACCCTGATCTTTATTATCAAACTGTAAAAAAAAACAACTTAAAATTTCATCAATAAAATCAATTTGCACTTTTTCTGTTTGACTAAATTGTATAGTCGATATTTTATGTTAACATGAAGTGTAACAGTTAAATCACACTAAAAAATAAGTTTCAGTTAAACTTCATCATCATCATCATCATCGCCTTCCTTTTAAAAGCTTGATGAGATGAAGCTCGTTTCTAAAGGTGACCTGGTCAAAAACAAGTAACTAGTTACTTTTGTACTCAGTTAAATCAGGTAGTTCGTTACAAGTTTTGCGTGTTTAAAAACCTCAACATTCAATACGGCTGGAACTAGCTACAGGGACGTGCACGGACGAATTAACAAGGGTGGAAGAAGTTTTTAGACGGTAAAAGAAATTGGTCGATTTGCTGTAGATGCAATTTGTGATATGTATTTCAACTCGACTAATACCTGCCAGCTGTGCCTCGTTATCACATGTAAAGGATATAAAAACTTTTTACAGAACCTTCTCAACCTGGTCTCTCTTGTAAATGAGTCCTCGGGGCTCAATGAGACTAACCTGTATAAATAATGGTTGAATACATGAGTGAATGAAAAAACACAAGCTTTATAACAGTTTTTTAAATGTAACACTTATAGTTCTAACCCATGTGTTCTCTGCTGGATGACGAGCGCACTGCTAACCAGAAGGAAGCTAATAACCAAAATGAATCAACAACTTTGGTTAGAGATTTTAGGTTGCTGATGTTCAAGTTTGACCGTTTTTGTAAATTACAGGTAGAACATGACAATCTTGACTTTGATTTTCTTTTCCTCCCCACTCTGTTCTCTGGTGATTTTTAGATTTTTTTTTGCTGATTTGACAGAATCCCAGTTAGAATATCCACTTGTTTGGGAAGCTTTTATGACGTGTTGTGTGTTAATTTTCTTTCCTTTCTCCGCATGGGAACATGTTCACAAACAAATGTAAAAACATTGTCATCCCACATGTTGCGGAATATCTGAAAAACTCATAAGGCATGACATTTCAGTACATTTTAAATCCAACAGGACCGTCAGAGAGTGTCAGGTCCATACCAGGAACAGACCCCCCAAACTGAGCAGTGTGGTGTCTGCTGTTCAGTGCAGTGAGGGATGTTCAGACTTCTAAAATGGAGAAACTGAACCTCTCCACAGACGCGTGGCTCAAACTGGTGAGCAACAGTTTTTACCCGAGAAACAGGTCTCAGATTTTACTTGTCTAAAACTTACAATGGACCATTAAAGCTGAGCTCTAACTGTGCAAGAAGTAATTAAATTCAATTTATTTATACAGCACCAAGTCACAACAGAAGTCGTCTCAGAGCACTGAACACAAACATTCATATATAAAAATAATAATTTAACGTTATTTATCTGAGGAGCAGACTGCTTAGAATTTAACTCCATCACAGAACTCTCATCTTGAGCAAGCGTGAAGGCGACAGTGGAAAGAAAAAAACTTCCTCATGAGGAAGAAACCTTTGGCAGAACCAGGCTCAGGACAAGTGGCCATCTGCTTCGACCGGCTGGGTTTGAGAGGAACAGATACACAATGGCAGGTCAAGAATCACATGTTAAGATAGAAATAGTAACAAATGAAAACTATTCAATTTTTACAATTCAATTAAGGAAATTAGGTCAATTTGTCCTCTAGCACTGTAAGCCTATAGCAGAATAACAAGACAACCCTAACCATAGGATTTATGAAAAAGTAAAGTCTTAAGCCCAGTCTTAAAACTGGACCATGTGTCAGCTTCACAGACAGAAACTGGAAGTTGGTTCCACAAGAGAAGAGCCTGAAATATCGTCCTCCCATTCTGCTTTTGGAAACTCTAGGAACCACGAGTAAGCCTGTAGTCTGAGAGCAAAGTGCTCTGTTAGGAAAATATGGAACAATATGATCTCAAATATAAGAAGAAGCAAAGTGATGAAGTGCAGAAATCTGCTCTCTCTGACATTTATTTATTTCTTTTATTTATTAACCTTTATTTAACCAGGCGAATCCCATAATTGTGTCACAAATATTACGTCATTTTGTTCTCGCAGCAGCTCCAAGAACCCGTTCTGTGCAAAAGTTCTGGCTACAACTTTTTTCTCACAGGGGTGTAATCAAATTTGGCATTTTCAAAGCTCTCCTGTTCTTCATTCATTCATTCATTCTACCTTTTGATTTGAGAAAGCTCCCTGAACGTGAAGCGAACAAGTCCATGTCTTTATTTTTTGGGGGGGGAAATTCTTCATATTTATTAGTGTTTAATATCTTTTTTTTTTACAGTGCATGTAAACTTTTAGGGGTGAATTTAGCTCCAAAGTCTGAGTGCATATAGGCATGACCAGAGCTATAGGGGCCACAGGATGTTACAGCAACTGTCAGCCTCCGGCAAAATCTGTCAGCTGATGCTGTTGAGGTGCTTCTTTATTCCTCTGGGTGTTCTGTGGTAGGTATACACCATATATTGTGTTGTGTGTGTGGCACACCTGGTTCTAGTTTATGTAAGGGGTTAACTCTTGTAACTATTTTAGGAAATTATCCGACCTATAATCTGATTATGTGGATAGTTTCTACAGCTGCAAAAAAAGTACAAGACATAATGATGTTGTCTCTCCTCAGCCATATTGAGTCACAGCAGTAAAAAAAAAAAAAGTTGCCATAATGTAATTTGCTCTTGACATCTCTCACTTTGCACATTTGCAGAGGTGTGTTTAGTATTCCACCCCGGATGTTTCATGTTTAGGCCATGCGTTTTAGACGACAGGAGTCCTACCGCTGGCCAAATGTCAGTCTCCTCATTTGTGTGTGCGTGCGTGTTTGTGTGTGTTTTCCCACCAGGATGCCTGTCTGCCTGTGATGGTGACAGGCTTGAAGAGGAGCCGGGTAGACTCGGGGGGAACTTGGAAAAAAAATTGACAACGTGATATGTTTAAAATATAGCAAGAAAGACCCAGTGTCTGTTAGATTATAACACGTGTGAGTGTGTTCTTAGGCTCAAAACGATGAGCAGGGAGAGGAAGTCTTTGTTTAACAGGTTATTTATTGACCATAAATTTTTTTTAGGTCAAAATAATTCAAGGTACTGGAAAAAAAATAAAGGATAAAATATATCCTTTGTGTGTATGTGTGTGATGGTGATGGTACATTTCAAGGTCAAACAGTTTGAAAACGCAGTTCCATTGTGCACTTTTAGTGTTGTTTGTGACTCATGCAGGTTATCCTTCCTCTCACGTGTGTAAATTCATCATATACAGTTGTAAACAAATTAACTGGATATGTTCCTCCTGAAACTTAAGATTCTCACTAATTACTCAACTGTAAATTTTGCTCTAAATGTTAGGTAAAACATTTTTTCACGTCTCTAATCGATTGATCAAAGTATTGGCTTATAAATTTATCAGAATCTGATTTATGCCATTCAGAGTGTCTGAGACATGGAAGAATGAAACGTGTTCCTCAGGCAAGTATAAAATCAATAAAATAACACAAAAAAAAAGTGTTTTTTCACTTTGATGCAGGGGTTACCACACAAAACATTTAGCAATTATTTACGTCGAATGCCTCACTCAGTCTGGGCTTGAACCTGCAACCTCAGCAGTGGCAGCTGGTGGAGTTTTATCCTGGAAGGGGGGGGGGGGGGGCTATAACTCCAAAATGGACAAATATATACAGTATATATGTATATATAACTGTATGTATATATATATATATATATATATATATGTGTGTGTATATACAGTTAAGAGAGAGAATGAGAATGTAGCTGTAAGTTTAAAACACCTACAGCACTGGAAGGATTTATGGGGCTTCAACTGATTACCTGGTTCGAAACTAGAGTTAGCTTGCCATCCTCAGCAATAGACAGAAACTTGGCATGTGTGAAACAGACCTAAAAATTAATAACCCTGGGTTTTATCAATATCAAAAACCATCATAAATTTAAGCAATGCATGTGAATGTTTTATCATCATTACTATAGTAATATAAGTTCCATCCATCCATTATCTTTACCTGCTCCTGCTTCTTCCATTTTGGGTCACGGGGGTTGCCAGTGCCCATGTCCAGCAATCACTGTCCGAGGGGCAGGGTACACCCTGGACAGGTCGCAAGTCCATCACAGGACCACAAATGAGACAAACAACCATTCACTATCTCACTTACACCTATGGACAATTTAGAGTTACCAATCAGCCTAACACGCATGTTTTTGGTCTGTGGGAGGAAACCGTAGTACCCAGAGAAAACCCACACATGCATTGAGAGAACATGCAAACTCCACCCAGAAAAGCGCCCGGACCGAAATTTGAACGGGCAACCTTCTCGCTGAGAGGCATCAGCTCTACCACTTGTGCCACCGGGCTGCCTACGATCTGTTCCGGGACCAGAAATAATAATAATAATAAATAATACATTTAAAAAAATCTGTTCTAGTACCAGAAGCACTATTTGTATCGTGCGCCCGTATTCTTGGCGCAGAAGTGGTGCGCCCAGAATCTTCCTATTGCTTGTAATGAAGAGGAGCTACTGCACATGTACAACTTTTAATGAGAGTCTGTGGGCAAAGATTCTAGCACCGCCCGGACAGAAATACATCATCACTCAGAGACAACATTTTTGAAAGAAACAACTTTACTCATCATTAACTATAAAATATTT